TGGCACTGAGTTGTTAGAAAAGAAATGCGTCGTGACATCATTGCTTGATGACGTCAGGAACCGATTAATCGGCTTTTTGAACCTGTTCAATGAACCGATCTGTCCGAAAAGAACCGGTTCGTGGAAATGAATCAGACTTTGCATCACTAGAGGACAGAGGAGAGAATGAGAAGGGAAGAAGTCAGGGAGGAGAGACTACTACTAAGATGTGTGTTGTTTTTTTTAAAGATTAATTCATGCTAACAAACAAAAACATTAATATTTCAATCTACTGTCATATGGGTCCAAACCAAGCGGCAGCCTCCCGCTCTCTCTCGTGAAACCAAGAAGGAAGTGACTTGAACTGTAATTCATCAACTGGCCGCTAGAGGCTGGCTGCAAAAGGGAGTCAATCCCATAGACTCCCCATGTTAAAATGCCCAACTTTACAGCTGAAAAAAAAACATGTTTACAGTCTGGTACAAAAAGTGGTTTTGGTCTATATAGCTAATTTTGCCCTTCATGACAACTGTGAGGGGGGTGAATTTTTTTATAAGTCATCCGTTTAAATTATATTAAGCCTTAAAGTTCTGCATAGTTAAGGGCGTGGCCACTTGAGTGACAGGTGGATTGCCGCTGCTGTCACCACCGTCGAGCTAGGTGGGCGTGGTTTCAACAACCAGCTCCTGCCTCTTTGCCCATCTTCGATTATCCGGGTGTGACGCGCGGTGACGCGCTGCCAAGATGGCGACGGCCGTCTCCGCCCACTTTTGAGCTTCAAAAACTATCTTCGGAACCCTACGGGTGACGTCACGGACACTACGTCCATGTTTTTATACAGTCTATGGATAATACGCAGAGCGTCACACCACGTGAAAGTGAATCCTGAGCGGTGAACTAATTTTCGGCAGCCGGAATTTCAGTGCATCTCTAATTATTGGCGACATCAGAAATGGATATTATATAATAACTGCTTTTTTGAACATTTTAGCAATTTAAAAATATTTTAAAAATATTTTTTTTACACAGCACCCCTGCTCTCCAGAAGGCACCCCGGTTGGGAAACACTGCTTTACAGGGACGGTATTGCAGGGGGGGCCGCCAATTACTATTAAAACAAATAATAATATTGTTAATATATGTAAAAATTTCTAAGTCATAATATCATAATTTCATATATATAATTAATTAACAAAAAATAAATATTAAACTGTTACTTTGCTTCCACTATTCGAGCTCGCTGATTGGTTTAAGAATAAACCGCCAATTCTAAAATATTTTTGCTGCATATGCTACAGAACAACAGATTCAAACATGGATAAATGGCTGTCAACAGGGTCGCTGAAAAGAACAAATGCAAGATGTTTCTCCATCTACAAGTAAGCCTGACACTGAAAAGACTCTAAATAAATCTAAAAGAAAATACAGTAGTGACTATCTAGCGCGAGGCTTCACGTGTGTGGGAGCGGAGAACAAGCAGCTACCGCTCTGCATTGTTTGCTCAGAAGTCTTATCAAATGAAGCTTTGAAACCGAGCAAACCACGACGGCACTTGGAGACTAAACACAGTGAATATGTGTTCAAGCCTATTGAGTTTTTTGAGAACAAACTGAAAGAGTACCAAAGCAGGAAACAAACTATTGAAACTGCGTTCTCTGGCAACGACAACAGTAAAGCAGTGGAGGCATCTTATAGTGTAGCAAAGCTCATCGCAAAGGCTGGAAAACCCTCACACAATTGGTGAAAATTTGATTTTATCTGCCGCGAAAGAAATGGTTGGCGTGATGTGTGGAGAAAAGGCCCTCAAGCAGCTAAATCTGATTTCACTTTCAGATAATACAGTTGAGAGAAGAATAAATGAAATGGCAGATGACATAACTCAGAAGTTGGTTAAAAACATTAGAGAGAGTCTCTTTTGTGCCCTACAGTTGGATGAATCGACCGATATAGCAAACCTTTCCAACCTCATTGCTTATGTACGGTATGTACATAACGGAGAATTACAAGAGGATTTCCTTTTCTGTAAGTCGCTGCCGACTCAATCAACTGCCGAAGCCATATTTGATATTTTGAATGCATTTATTGTTTCAAATGGAATAGATTGGTCTAAATGCGTGGGTCTGAGCACAGACGGAGCAAGAGCGATGGTGGGGCATCGTAACGGAGTCGTTGCGGGCGTGAGATCAGTTGCACCGCTCATGAGCTCCGTCCACTGCAGTTTACATCGAGAAGCACTAGCTACCAAGAAGATGCCCACAGATCTCAGATGTGTTAAAATAGTCAATTTCATAAAGACTAGGCCCCTCCAGTCACGTTTGTTTCGACTTCTCTGTGAAGAAATGGGAAGTGATCATGTTCAGCTTCTTTTACACACTGAGGTACGATGGCTTTCACGAGGCAGGGTGCTTACTCGTCTCTTCAAATTACGCAACGAAGCACGGATTTTTTTTATCCGATTCAAAACTTCCCCTTTCGGACCGCCTCAGTGATTTTGAGTGGCTTGCAAAATTGTCCTACCCCTTTCTTCACTTCAGCCTGACATACAGCACTTAATAAATGCTAAACAACACCAACCTTCGCATTAGGTAAGTGACAAAGATTGTAGTTTATGTAGTTTTTTATTTATTTATTTATTTTCTTGCATGTTATCCATTAAGTTTGTGTCATGGCTGTTGTTTTCAGATTATTCACACAATGCAAATTAAAAATGGTCAGGACTAGGGTTTGATCGCTGTTTTCTCAGTTCTGTGTTTCCCTCGTCTCTTTGTTTTTGTTTTTCCCTTCAACGCAGCAGCTGCATGCAGCGCAGCTGCTCATTGGTTTCTCGCCAGTTTTATCTCTCTTGATTTTTCGCTCTATATCTGCTCTCAATTTGCGCTTGTCACTCGAGCCTGTCTCTAGTCTTGCTTTGTGCAGTGCCTCAGTTCTCTGCCGGTTTTGACTGCTCGTCTCAACACTGCTCTGCATGTTCCCTCCTGACTGCTTGCTCCGCTGACTGTCTACCCGCTGCCGACCTCTGCCTGGATCTGGTTTTCCCGTTTTACTGAGAGGTGCCAGCCCGAGTTATTTTCTGTTCATTGCCAGCTAATTCAATAAAGACAGTTAACAATCTAGCTTCTGAGTACTCAGTTATTAACCCAACAATTAGTGGGGTCAGTTAAAATCTTTTGCAGTGGGCCGCGGTAACATATGTGTTTGGTTGTGTGGGCCGCGAGTTGAAAAAGGTTGGGAACCACTGACCTAGAGAAATAATTCTCACATGATGGATAACATAAATGGATTAGGACCTCAACAAAACAGTTAAGATACTAAGATCACAGATAATAAAGTGAGGAATCAGTCGAAACTGATCCCTTTAGGCCCAAGCCCTGTTTTTCAGACTGCAGAGATCAGTCAAGCTGTCTGTCTCTTTTCTTTTCTGTGGGCCGCTCTGTCAGGCATCTGCCTTGTGACCAGCCCTAAAACTCAATTACCGCTCCTTTTAACTCATTTTGCTTGCCATTTTGAGTGAATTACTCTGCTTGTGCTCCACAATCAGTGACCTAGGAATTTTTAATGCCTAAAATAGGCTCAATAATGCTTTAAACAAACAAAAGCAAACAATGCTGCCATTTTAACCTCACAGAAAGACTTTCGCATGCGTCAGAAAGCACTCTGGACCAAAATTAATCAGTCACCCATTATTCTTTCTCCCCCGGCCTTCTTATTATTCACTCATTATTCTTTCACTTACCGAAGTTGACGTTGTATTCGCCACCCCTCTCACGGTACATCTGGTAAACAAAGAAGCAGGAAACAGGTTTGAGCAGCAGGTTCAGGATGGCCATGCCCCCACTAAAGCGGAACAATTCCAGTGCCACGCTTTTATACTGGATTTCACCCGCTGCGTAGTACAGCCCAAAATGTACAATATCAGTCAGGATGGTCACTGCCAACCCAATCAAGAACTGAATGAAGCAGAGCAGAGATCAAATATTAGTATGACAAATATACTATGCACAAACACATAAGAAGGTCAAAACATAATCTCAGCATGCTCGTGGGCCATCTTGTAAACTCTAATCTGATTGGCTGGCTTTAAATAACTTCCGGGAGGAGGTCACAGAGATTTTTTCTATCAGGAATTCAAATGAATTCAAACTACGTTACAAATATAATCAAATTTTATACATTACACACATCACACATAATATTTTTCAGATAAACTCACCCCTAACTGGCACACAAAAACCAAACAAACTGTAATTTCTTGCTTTACATGTCAGTCAGATGCTCTTTTTCTGTCTAAGAGGGTGGTTTTTACCGACAGATGTACCTTACAGTAAAAATTCTGGCTATGCAAGACTCAAGCTGTGGATTTCTCATCTGTCATCGTTAATGAATAAATTGTTTGTCTTTAAGTCTTCATAACCTAAAAAAAACATGTTCTTCTTTGATGAAAAAAATCACACCTACCATTAATACAGCGTCTATGGAGTCTCTCTGTGCAATGGCCCACACTCCCACTGCAAGAGCACTCATGTTCCCCAACACATAAGACGTAGGAAGCCAGGTGATCAAACATGCCCTGCATACAAACATGCATTCAAACCTTTTAAGACTACTATTTTAATTAGGGCTGTCAATATAACTCAGTTTGCTAAAATAAATAAATAAAACAATCATGCGGTTTTTTTAAATATAGCAAATAGCACATTTTATAATAAGCAATTTTTCTACTGTCGGAGCATTCAAGCTTCAAGTACCACCTAAATGCAAAGCATATTTGCGACCTCCAGTTGATACTACAGACAATGTACCACACTGAGAGAAGAGATCAATTAAAATGATTCAAAATAATCTATTACATCATTTGTTTATACAATACAATGTTTACATGGCTTCAAATGTTTTATATAGCCTACACACACATTTACAGGCTTGACTTTTTTAGTCTGAAGAAGAAATGTATTTCCATTTCTGCTGAACTGAGAACTGGTGAAATTCCTCAGGTTAGTGTGGGAAAACATAAAAGAGAAAGGCAAAGGCACCATAACTCTCACCAGACTGTCAGTAACCAGTGAACCAACACGATGGCCTGCAGAGAAAATACACACACACACAGTGCAGCTCATGAGTAAATGTACAAATCTGTCCCCTAGACATAGGCCGTGGCTCAAACCCAGTAAGCATTCAGTCATGGGCGTTTTTGGGCCTACATGCCCAAAAATGTTGCTGCACCTATGATCTGAGGCATCTCTAAAAATCACTGTGCCCAGAACAAATACAAATACCTTTAATAAAGGCAACGCGTTTCTAAAATAACGAGGATATGAACCCATACAAAAGAACAATTCTGTCCAAAATAAAGAAAGTAAATGTATCTACAGCACTACTATATCCATTCAGAATCTTACTGGTTCCTGGTTATAATAAAATAATATTACCAGTTTTGAAACACAGCCATTGACATACAATAGTAAGAGGTGGAATTAGAATCACGGAAGCACAACTGAGGAAATAATGTAACAAAATTGACAAAAAGTTGCTTTAATGGATAATAGGTAATTGATAATAAAGTTACTGATAAATTATTTAACAAATTTAATGTTTCCTGTGTCATAAAGTGTAGAAATATGTTTAAATAAAACCACAATTTTCTTTTTTTCTTTTGATCTTGAAGGTTTTTTGATGGATCATTTAGCAACGAATTTCTTTTTATCTCAATGTACTCACTATACAACACACATACTGTAACATAAATACATTACCTTGAGATTTATGGCTGGTATTTCCATAGTATCACTGCCCCTTTACGATTTAGTGTCCCTCTGTAGTTTTCAGTATTTCACAAATGAAGCCTGAAACACTTTCATCGTAACTGTGTGTAACAGACGTTTGCCCAGCTCTCTGAAGTGACTGCAAACATCAACCATGTGACACAAGCCTGACCAGAGCCATGTGACTACACCTCCCTCCACTCATTACTCCATCTGCAAATCTGAGAGCAGGACAACCTGTGTGTCTATGCATTGATGTCACTGTAAACAATTGTTTTAATTTCTACTGTGCATATTTACAATAATGTTTTCTGAATGTTATAGGAGAGATCAGGGCTCGTTGTCACATTTGGAAGTGTATCTAACTAGGAAATGTCTCAATACAGTAAAGGGTCACAGTGTTCCCAACCATCCATATTTTTTTTTTTTTTTTTACTTCTCCTACTCTTCTGTCATTGTGCATGTTGTTTGGCACTAGAAAAATATCAATGCATCTAATCAGAGTTTAGACAGGTTATTCTTCAGCTCCCATTGATTTGTGGCTCATGTTATTTTAATACGCAGGCCTTTAAAGACTTGTCATAGCAGAAACAACCAAAATAAATTGCACATACCGCTTGGCACATTCATTAATACTAAATAAAATAAAGTCTGTGCTCATAAATGATTTGTTAAATGCTCCTACACAAACACACATACACACACACTTATGGACATGAAATTACTAAATACAACAAAGCTGAATTTGATAGATCATGCTGGCTGTCCAATTAGCCAGCTGTGGTCCATGATTTTAAGAACACCTGGGACAGTTTGTTGGAAGAATATGTCACCTAAGTCTGATGAATAGCCCAGATTTGCTCAATAGCTTAGAGGAACTAAAATCTACTTTGGAAGGTTTTCACATGTCATATAGGAAATTAGTTCCTTTGTTGTTTGAGTGTCTGGTAAGAAAGGTTCATCTTCATGTTTGACCTCTGATATACATTCGGCTTGTCTTTACAAATTACAGTGTTATGATGCACATAAGATGTAGTTTGTGTGTGTGTTTGCTAAAGCCAGTTTCACTGTTAAGCCAGTCCCACTAGACTTTGAGCGTACAAAATATCTATGGACACTGGATGGTTTGTAATACATTTAAAATGTAAAACGATGCAATCCACTACATTTTACAGCAATTCTGCAAGATTTAAAGGTTTCGTTCTTTTATTTCTGCCAAGAGGTCACATTGATATTTTGATCTTCTATTGGTCAGACTTCTTCACTTGATGCAAATTTGCAGGACATAGTTCAACAAACGTATACTTCAGAATGCACCAAAATTCATCTCCAGCATTCAGATATACTGTATATGAATAATCAATGTAGAAATAGAAGAACCAATGTAACGAAAAGTGTAGTGTGACTGCACCTTTACTCCTGTTCATTCTTATGAACAAACCCTAATTTGAGTTAATTAGAGCATCTGAATGCCACTAATTCTAACATGTTGGTGCTATGGTCATGAAGGAAACCTCAAAACGTGGCTTATTGACGAGAAATGTGCTATTCATTTTCACTCATTTAGCAATGTCTTGACAACCATGAAGAACACTGTAAAATCATGGCATTTAGGCATACACCACTTAAATTTTCTACAGAATATGTCGAAAAACATACAATCTGCACAAACCTGTACTGATACACACATGATGTTTAGAAAAAAAGGAAGAATTTTCCGGATGTGTTACAACATTCTGCTATCACGCAACACAGTAAAATTTCCTCTGTTACTTCACAGGATCACAGTTCCCTATCGATATTTCACTCGTACTGCGTCTACTAAGACGCTATGAGAAAAAGTCATTTTTTCTCCTGAACTGAAGCCTTTTTCAATAACGCAGTGTAACTGCATGGCCATTGGTTCGTGCAGTACACTTAAATAACGAACCAATGGCTCGGCAGCGGTGCTGCACGAACCTATGGCCACGAAGCCCGCCAGAATGGGCGTTGCCATCTGGCTATATTAGCCAGGTACTTTGCCATAGGATTCAGATTTCTTCTCCTTCAGCGATGACGACGTTCTTCGCTGATCTCCGCTGACTGAAGAGCCTGCTCGCTGTTGACACGCCTCGCAGTGGAAAAGCGACCTCTCTGCTCGGCTGATTCGCCGCCTTCAGCGCCACACAGCAGTGGTCCAGCTTCCCTTGCCACCATCCGGCGAGCCTTACAAAGAGCACATTTCTAAGAGCACATTTTTGCGGCGTTGCTTCAAATGCCGAGTCGTTATTGTGGTACGTGCAGGTCTCCACTGCACGCCGATGACGGCCACCGTGAGTGCATTTCCTGCTTGGGGAAATCCCACACAGAATCCACGCTCACTGAGACGGATTGTTCCCACTGTGAGAACATGAGTCTCGCCACTCTGCATTCACAGATAGCTTTCTTTTCAGAGAGCGACTCCGCCCCTCGCGCCCTCCCGCTTTCTTCCCACCAGGAGCCTGTGAGGAAAAAGCAGCGTGCCAAGTCCCGCGTGCCTCGCTCTCTCCTCACAGAGAGGTTTCCCCCATCCTCTTTTCCCAGCCTGACCAACGTCCCTCTGCCAGCGCGAGCGATCTGGTCTCGTTTGGTGGGAGTGATGACGAGCTGCTGGATGACAGCATGTCATTAGCAGCCTCGGACGCAGAGGAGCTGTTGGGTTCGACTGCCGCCCCCGCCCCCCTACCGTCGTCCGAGCCCAGCGACGTTAAGCCCAGGATGGACGCCGAATTACTCTGTGTCCTCTCGAAAGCCGTCGAGGAGCTAGGATTGGAGTGGTCTCCACCGGAGGAGCCGGACGAGTGGTTCCTGCCGGGGCGCCGTCAAGTCCTTCGTCAGCGATCCTCTCCTTTTTTCCTGGAGGTCTATGATGAGCTCACCAGGTCGTGGCGCACCCCATACTCTGCACACCTCCGTACTTCCGCTTCATCCGCCCTCACTTCGGTGGACGGCGCTGAAGATAAGGGATACGAGAAGCTGCCTCCGCTGGACGATTCAGTGGCCGCGCATCTCTGCCCGCCCACTGCTATCGGCTGGAAGGCAAAGACCGCCCATCCGTCCAAGCCATGTAGGACGACTTCAGCCCTCGCTGGACGCACGTACTCCTCGGCTGGGCAAGCGGCGCTCCATTCAATGGCGGTCCACCAGGTCTTCCAGGCCAAACTCCTCGCCAGCACAGACGAGTCTGGCCCAGACCCAGCGTCGCTCAGGGAGCTGAGAAGCGTGACGGACCTGGCTTTGCGCGCCACCAAAGCAACAGCTCAGGCTATAGGGCGTTCCATGGCCAGTCTGGTGGTCCTCGAGCGCCTCTTATGGCTGACCTTGACGGAAATCAAGGACACCGTGTTTCCATTCCTTGGTGCTCCGGTCTCCCCCACCGGTCTGTTCGGGCCAGCGGTCGAAGACTTCGCTGAGCATTTCACGAAGGCACAAAAGTCGTCCCAAACCATGCGACACTTCCTGCCAAAACGCTCTAGCTCTGCAGCTGTCAACGTTCCCGCTTGGCCAAACGCTACTCGTTTCCGAAGCGTCAGGGACCCTGGCCCAAGATAGCGCTGGACCCTTGTGCCTCAGGCGTCGTCCTGATCTACGGGACAGAAAGAGGAGGGGACCAAGTCTCACTGCAGCTGGACCACCCCCCAAGCTGCCTCTCTTAAGCTGCCAATCACTCCGTCCAGTTCCGGGTGCAGTCAGCGATGTGTTTGCTGTAAACTCTGGGCCCGTTCAAGCGCCGATCCGCTGTTATAGCGGGCAGATTAAAACACAAACATTTTCAAAAAGAGAGCAGATTTCCTGTTCCATGTAGCATTTGGACCAATCAGACACACAATTGTTCATTAGATTTAACAAATCAATTATTCATTAGATCAGGGTTCCTCAAATCTTGCCCTGGAGGGCCAATGCACTGAAGAGTTTAGCTCCAACCCTGATCAAACTCACCTACCTGTGATTTTCTAATGATCCTGAAGATATTGATTAGCATGCTCAGGTGTGTTTGATTAAGGTTAGAGCTAAACTCTGCAGGAAAGTGGATCTCGTGGGCGAGATTTGAGGATCCCTGCATTAGATTAACAAACAATCACAGACCCCTCACCCAACACCAGACTCATTATCTATATGTCTGTGAACGATCTCCAGGCCAGGACACCTCAGCCAGATTAGATAAACTTTACGACCTAAAAGTATATGAATAAAACTAGACTATGCGAAAGCAAATATGATCCAATATGTCAAGTCAAGTCAAGTCACCTTTATTTATATAGCGCTTTTAACAATACAGATTGTGTCAAAGCAACTTTACAGTATTAAATAGGAAAACAGTGTGTCAATAATGCAAAATGACAATAGTAAACATTCAATTTTCAGTTAAAGGCAGTTTATCATTGAATTCAGTGATGTCATCATCCAGCTCAGTTCAGTTTAAATAGTATCTGTGCAATCAAGTCGACGATATCGTTGCATATTATGTGTCCCCAACTAAGCAAGCCAGAGGCGACAGCGGCAAGGAACCAAAACTCCATCGGTGACAGAATGGATCTTGATCTTGATCTTTAAGTCTGGATCAAGTTTAACGGGGTCATATGATGTTGCTAAAAAGAACATTATTTTGTGTATTTGGTGTAATGCAATGTGTTTATGCGGTTAAAGGTTAAAAAAACACATTACTTTCCACATACTGTACAGTATTGTTTCTCCTCTATGCCCCGCCTTTCTGAAACGCGTCGATTTTTAGAAAGCTCATCGTTCTGAAAAGCGAGGTGTGCTCTGATTGGCCAGCTATCCTGAGTTGTAAACTCTCTGTATTAGGGCTGCACGATTAATCGAATGCGATTGTCATGCGCATTTTGTTAGTAAAGCCGGTTCTGTAATCAGCAGTAAATCATCATCACGTGCTTTCAGATGAAGCAGCATTTACTACACAGAGCCGTAGTTCATTTACAGTGCCTTGCGAAAGTATTAATTTTTTCACATTTTATGTTGCTGCCTTATGTTAAACTGCTTTAAATTACTTTTTTTCCACATCAATCTACACTCCATACACCATACTGACAAAGCAAAAACAGAATTGTCACAACTTCGTAAATTTATTAAAAATAAAAAAACTGAAATAGTTACATTGCATAAGTATTCATACCCTTAACTTAATATTTCGCTGAAGCACCTTTA